GTGTAATTCATTAACTAAGTAGGGCAGTGCCTACCATAACAAATACACGACAGAAAACCAGACTGGTGTAATTCATTAACTAAGTAGGGCAGTGCCTACCATAACAAATACACGACAGAAAACCAGACTGGTGTAATTCATTAACTAAGTAGGGCAGTGCCTAACATAACAAATACACGACAGAAAACTAGACTGGTTTTTATTCATTAACTAAGTAGGGCAGTGCCTACCATAACAAATACACGACAGAAAACTAGACTGGTGTAATTCATTAACTAAGTAGGGCAGTGTCTACCATAACAAATACACGACAGAAAACTAGACTGGTGTAATTCATTAACTAAGCAGGGCAGTGCGTATCAAAAAGGTTGAATGCAATATAAAGTCAAGACTAATGCAGTCTTGTATCTTTGAATTGTACTGTATATTATAAAAGTACAACAGAAATTGGTGCCTATTACCGTATATATATATATCTACTGAAGAGACATTTGGTGCCTATCACTGCATATATATATCTACTGAAGAGACATTTGGTGCCTATCACTGCATATATATATCTACTGAAGAGACATTTGGTGCCTATCACTGCATATATATATATCTACTGAAGAGACATTTGGTGCCTATCACTGTATATATATCTACTGAAGATAAATTTGGTGCCTATTACCGTATATATATCTACTGAAGATAAATTTGGTGCCTATTACCGTATATATATATATATCTACTGAAGATAAATTTGGTGCCTCTTACCGTATATATATCTACTGAAGATAAATTGGGTGCCTATCACTGCATATATATATCTACTGAAGATAAATTGGGTGCCTATCACTGCATATATATATATATATCTACTGAAGAGAAATTCCACAGGTTTTTTTAAGATAATGTGGTTTAATTGTATATTTTACGAACAACTTCCATTGAAGTTTAAGATAATTAGTCTATAAGAAAGGTATTACTATGCCTCAACTAAAGTCTCACTGAGAAACAGCGAAAATTGTCATTTTCTGAAAAACATATATGACAAAGATGTGGACACCGTTTGTGTTGGTTTTTTTTGTTTGTGGAAAGTAAAGGATAAATTAGTTCATTTCGTTGTTTGCTCTTACAAGCTGTTTTACTTATAAAAATGTAATTCGATTAGTTAATACTTGGCTCAAATTCCTCAATCTACAAAATATTTCTGGAAACTTATTTTGTTTTCTTTCTGCTTGGGGAATTATATGAACCTACGCGCAGCGAGAAAAAAAGTCAATTCTCACAAAAAATGTCTATATATCTCATCTCTTCAAGTGTTTCGGTGATATACTGTTATGTAAGTAGAGAGAGGCACAGTGTCACACTGAAAGCAAAATAAAAAATTCCCATACATCTCTTCCCTTCAAGAGTTTCGATGGTATACTGTTATGTAAGTGGAGAGAGGCACAGTGTCACACTGAAAGCAAAATAAAAAATTCCCATACATCTCTTCCCTTCAAGAGTTTCGGTGGTATACTGTTATGTAAGTGGAGAAAGGCACAGTGTCACACACACATAAAAATTCTATGCATCTCTTCTCGTCAAGAGTTTCGGTGGTATACTGTTATGAGAAGAGATGCATAGAATTTTTTTGTGTGTGACACTGTGCCTTTCTCTACTTACATAACCGTATATCACCGAAACTCTTGATAAGAAGAGATGCATACGAATTTTTTTGTGACACTGTGCCTTTCTCCACTTACTCCAAGAGTTTCGGTGGTATACTGTTGTGTAAGTGGAGAAAGACACAGTGTCACAAACAAACAAAAATAAAATTTCTATGCATCTCTTCTCGTCAAGAGTTTCGGGGATATACCGTTATGTAAGTAGAGAAAGGCACGGTTTCACAGTGAAAGAAAAATAAACAAATTATATACACATTTTCTTTTCACGAGTTTCGATAATATGGTGTTATGTAAGTGGATGATATGGTGTTATGTAAGTGAATGATACTGTGTTAATACGAATGAGGAACTAACTCTTTTCTAGCAATGTTTATCGAATCTCCTATTACCACGCTATGAAACGAACGAACCATGTACCATGATTTAGGTCTCCCTCCCTTGATCGTTAGGAGGAATGAATGCATATGTAATGTTTTAAAATAAGATAATCTCTAAGAATTGGTATTTAATTATTATTATAGTGTTGATTCGAAAGTTACACTTGCTAGTAAAAATATGATCGATCTGCAAGAGATCTGGATATATAATATACACATGCTGGTAACAAAAAGGGTTAAACCCCTCCTGAGCTTAAATTACTTATTGTATCTGTTATAAAGGGAAATTTATTGAACTTCAAACTAAAATCAGTGGTAAATTTCCAAAGGTTTATCTATACCTGTGTAAAACTATTTCCGAAATAATGAATAGTTGTCAGAAGTTTATGATAGATAGATCATTAACCAGGATATTTAAAACTTTATAATGCATTTCAGAGAAAACTTCAACCGGTAAGAAATTGATTCGTATTTTCAAGTTGTTCATTAATCCAATCTTATTGAAGTCTAGAAAAAATTTCGACCTAAAACTGCATTATAATGTACGCGTATTTGTGAAGATATTTACGTAGCTAACGCGAAGCCTGTGAATCAAATAGTTCAGTGACTCCGCAGCTGTAGTCTAATGTCATAAGGTTATTGTTCTCAAGTGACTGATTTGATATCTATTTTAATATCACAGCACACCCTCCCGTTTGTATACAGTTTGAAGATTCATTTAGATCTTTATTTTAACACTGTAATCTCTCCGTCAACAACGAAGTATAAAAGTAGCTACCTTTTCAAGTACTGTTTGAAAGAATATCCAGAAGAGAATGACTCCCACTAACATAAACTAGTACTAGTTTGAAGATTAATATCATATTATGAATGCAAACTGCATACAACGAAAAAAAGTCATGTTTAGAATATAAACACGGTATACTTTGTTGCTATTGTGATTTCTCTAGTGTTGTGACATCAGTGAATTATGAGTCTAAAGTGTCCTTGCGGTTTATTTCTAAATAATAATTAAGGAGACTTCTGTTTAATCTGATGAACATGATTTAAAACACCAGATGTTGCTGTTATTTAAAACGAGTTATTTGTATTTGTTATTCCAAAAGTTAGTATTGTTTATGAACTGTTTGATTTATTATGTTTTTGTGTGTGTTCATTTTATATCTGCGCTAAGTTCTAGTTATTTAATTGATTATAAGATACAAGCTGTTTAAGTAATCAAGCTCTGTGTTTTTAAAATGATATTTCAGTAAGCACACCAGCATTTTTTATCTAGTTGTATATTAAAAAGAGTGTTTGCAAGGAACGTTGAATCTCTGACCTACCTGTCAGTGGCCCTACGAGTGTTACAAGACATTCGTGGTCTTTGTCACTTATCGAAAGGAATCCCTACGAGAACCACACCTTCGACATCAAACGATCATGTAATTTATCAAGGTATAAACCAATTCTCTCCATTTTTCAAACGAAAAGAAAAAGGTCCGTAATAATCTGAAAACAAAATCGAGCTATGTTTAGGATTAAACCGCTGGAATCACTCTAAAGGAAAGAAAGCATCGCTCAACCAAATCTTCT